CCCACTGGGGATGTGCCCGCAACCCAGGCACATGCCCTTGACCGGAATCGAACCTGGGACCCCTCAGTCCGCAGGCCGACGCTCCATCCACTGAGCCAAACCGGTTTCGGCGAGTTTTCATTCTTTAAAGCTAGAAAAATACAGTGAAATGGTGGCGTGAAGAAAAACACAGTGAAGTGGTGGCGTGAAATGGGAAAGTGAAGGCTGAGCTATGCTCTTTGACGGCAGCAAAGACTCCAGGAACCGTCACTACAAATGCCCCTCAGACAGTCAGAAACAGCCCCGCACGCACACACACGGCAGCTGCTTTTCAGCAAGGCCATTCAACATATAAAGGAAAGGATTTTCAACAACTGGTACCAGAACATTAGTTATCCATATGGTAACATTTCTTCTTACCCCTCGCCTTCACCATATACAAAAAACAACTCAAAATGGAATATAGACCTCATTGTAAAATTAAAAACTTCTAGAAAGAAACTTGAGAAAAAAATCTTAGTGGCCTTAGGTTTAGGTAAAAATTTTTAAAATAGGTTGTAAAACTCACCAAGTAGAGAAGAAAAATGTCAACATTTTGAATTTTATCAATTTATAAGACTTCAAAAGGTACTGTCACAAAAATGAAAAGGTGTGGCTCAGTGGTTAAGTATAGACCTATGAACCAGGAGGTCAAGGTTCGATTCTTGGTCATGGCATATGCCCGGGTTGAGGGCTCGATCCCTAGTGTGGGACATGCAGGAGGTAGCCGATCAATGATTCTCTCTCATCATTGATATTTCCATCTCTCTCTCCCTCTCCTTTCCTCTCTCTCGCTCTTAAAACCAATAGAAACGTTTTTTTAAAGGCAATCTACAGACTGAGAGAAAATATATGCAAAACACAGATCCAGCTCTAGCTGGTTTGGCTCAGTGGATAGAGTGTCGGCCTGCGGACTGAAGGATCCCAGCTTTGATTCCAGTCAAGGGCACATGCCCAGGTTGCAGGCTTGATCCCCAGTAGAGAGGCATGTAGGAAGCAGCCGATCCATGATTCTCTCTCATCATTGATGTTTCTGTCTCTCTCTCCCTCTCTCTCTCCCTCTCTGAAATCAATACAAATATGTTTTTAAAAAACACACAGATTGATTTCCAGTCAAGGGCACATACCTGGATGGCAGGTTCAATCCCTGGCCCTGGTTGGGGAGCATGCAGGAGGCACCAATCAATGTGTCTCTCTCACATTAGTATTTCTCTCTCTCTCTCTCTCTCTCTCTCTCTCTCCCTCCCTCCCTCCCTCCTTATAGTCTCTCTTAAAATCAATGGGAAAAAAACATTTTCAGGTGAAGATTAACAACAACAAAAGTTAAACATGATCCATTCTCAGGTATTTACCCAATAAAATAAAATAAAAGCACACATCTGCATGAATGAATATTGGTACATGAATATTCAATGCAGTTATATCTGAAAACAAATGTCCATCAACAGCTGCTGAATTAACAAATTATGGAAATTCTATTCAGTGGTATATACTTCTCAGCAATGAAAAAGTAACTGATATACACAACAGCATGGATAAAATCAAAATCACTATGCGAAGTGAAAGACCAGAGGAGAGAGAGTACATACTGCATGATCCCATTCATATAAAATTCTAGAAAATGTTTACAGCTACAGTGACAAAAAGCAGGTCAGAAATTGCATGGGAACAGTTGGAGGAAGGAAGGAATTACAAGAAAGCAAGAAGAAACTTTTGAGGGTGATGGAATTGTTTATAATCTTTATGATATGATAGTTGCAGGAATATATACATGTCAAAACTCATCAAACTGATGCTTTACATATGTGCTATCTATTGTCTGTCAATTATACCTCAACAAAGCTGTAAAATATATATATATATACATCATAGGATTATTTTTTTTAAATAATTTTATTTATTTCAAAGAGGAAGGGAGAAGGAGAGAGAGATAGAAACATCAATGATGAGAGAATCATTGATTGGCTGCCTCCTGCACGCCCCCTACTGGGGATCGAGCCCGCAACCCAGGCATATGCCCTTGACCGGAATCAAACCCTTGACCCTTCAGTCCGCAGGCCGACGCTCTATCCACTGACCCAAGCAGGCTAGGGCTACATCATAGGACTATTATAAAGACAAGATACTGCACCTAACAAGCTTAAAATGAGCCTGTAAAATGCTGTTATTCTGGACAGAATAGACATTTGATAAACATTAGCTTTTTATATAACAATTGTTGAAAA